CGGACGCCGGGCCGCTCAGGCGGGCGAGGGACGGCGGCACCTGTGGCCCGGGCTGCTGGCCCTGACAGGCCTCACAGTGGACTAGCACGGAGCCCAGACCAGAAAGCATCGGAGAAATGGCTGTTGCCCACTGGGCGGACACTGCGGCGGCTTCAACGTCCTTCCTCCACCTCCCGCCTGGGCGTGCAGATACCACGCGCCTGACCGCCGGCTGGTCACCCTTGGCCCGTGGGGATCCTGGGAGGCCGCGGTCGGCAAACATGACCCCGACCACGCAGGAGAGGCCTGGGGCAGCCCTCAGAGCGCCGGCCTCCCCGTCCCCTCCCCGCGGGGCACGGGGCTCCCTGGGTCGGCACCGCCCTCGGGAAGCGCCCCACGGGGACGCAGAGGCTCAGAGAAGCCCGCACAGCTGTTATTTACAGCAGGAAGAAAACTGAAATGACATAAATGTCTCCCAACGGGGGGCAATTAAGTGCATTATGGGACATTCGCACAGGAGGCGCCCAGCCTTCACGGACAGCACAGCGTCCCCCAGACGCCGCCCACAGAGCCGCGGGCTGCAGGGGCATGGGAGCTGCCGCTGACCCCGTCCCGCGCCAGTCGCGGCCCCGAGAGCACGGGACCCCCTGTACCCTGCTTTCACGCAGACGTCTGTTCTTCTTAGCCGCCAGCGCCGTCGTTATGAGTCTCAGCTTTTTACTTTCAAACAACTGAAGTACTGTGAGAGACGCATGAGTTGGCAAACACCCCCACCCCCGGGGTGACGCCTGGTCCACCCACTGGCAGCGAGAGTCAGTGTGGAGGAGATGCCCGCAGGCTGGGGAGGTCTCCCTGCCGGCGCACCCCACTCCCGCACTCCGCTGGCTGCGCCTCCAGCGGTGTCCACCACACTGCACCACCCTCCAGGCAGCAGATTTCCTAGGGAAGGGCCAGCACGACACCCTTCACCAGCAACGGCTCCCCACCTCCCGGCGTGAACACGGCCCTTGGTGCAGACCAAAGGGACACCGCTGGGCTGCACCCAGAAGGAAAGACTACCTCTAAGGAAAATGTTGGGTAAACGCGCATGTAGTTCAAACCTAGGCCAGCTAGGGGCTGGAGACCAGGCCAGGGAGCTTCCCCAGGGAGAGGCGAGGGCAGGCGGCCACGGCAGGGACGGTCAGCTCCGCCCGGGGCCAGCAGCGCCAGTCCAGGACACTCGCCCGCAGACACGGCGGTCCCCTGGGGGAAGCGGCTGAGGCCCTGATGGCCGCCGGGCCCTGGAGCAGCACAGGGGACCAGCGTGAGCCCCTCTGTGCCGGCGGGTGAGCTCTCCAGTCAGCCCAGAGGTAGGGGGGCAGGCAGAAAGGCCCCCACCTGCGCCCACAGGCCGCCTGGGCGCAGACCCGCGGGAGGTGGGCTCGGACGTCCGGTTCTCGGCCACCAGCTC